CCCCCCCCCCCCCCCCCCCCCCCCCCCCCCCCCCCCCCCCCCCCCCCCCCCCCCCCCCCCCCCCCCCCCCCCCCCCCCCCCCCCCCCCCCCCCCCCCCCCCCCCCCTTAATTAGTGAAAATGGAAGTTTTGGTCTCAGATAACAACGCGTTATAGAAAAGGCCAAATAATAACGCATTTTTCTTGAATTCTTTCTTCCACCCCGTAAAGATACCACTTAATACAATTGCAGAAGACGATTGTCAACTCCTATTTATGGCAATAAATTAAACAATTACTACACAATTTATCAAGCCTTGTGTTGAAATGTTTTTCAAATGTAAAAAAAGAAAATAGCGTAAATTGGGATGGTCTATTTGCAATATTGAATTTTTCTTTTCGAGAACTTGTTCCTTCTTAATACTTGTACATAAATAGACTACATTCCAAATTTGATTTCCTACTCCACGTCTAATGATCATAATAACGATAAGAAAAGATTTTCATTTCAATGTTAAAATTCATTCGTCTCCTATTGTATCGCTACGGTTTATGTTAGTATTATTGGGCATACATTCAATGTAATTTTGTATATCAGAAAATCGTTGAAAGAAAAAAATAAGAAACAAAAATTTCTATTGTCTCTACTTTTTAGTCTCATCTGTAGGTACATTTTTTCAAATATTTTTTGATCTATTATTTCATCTACTGGTTTTAATATTGATATTTACATTGCTCAATTTGTACCATGGTATAAGTTCAGATCTTACATACGGATTATCTCATATCCTTTTATCTGATATAACAATTGTCTCCTTTGATCGTTTTGCATCAAGTTGTAAACAGCTTAAACTAAGAAAATTTTGTTTATTACGTACGTATAGCTCAATGTATCATTTGTACTGTTTTTATTGTTTCACCTTTACTTCAAACTCATATTGTATTATATTTAGGTATAAACACGACTAAATAACAATGTTAAATGAGTTCTAATGTTTATCAAATGTATTTTTATCTATTTTTTATTCTCATTCCCTTGACAAAAGCTATTTACCGTACGAAATAAATAGTTTGTTTGTATATCCACATAGCAACGTATCTGAAAACATATGATGTTATTTGAAATTTTCAAAATTATTATTTTAAAAACAGTAATGAAAGATTTTAGGTACCGTTTCTGGTCTGACATATGTAGATGAATGCAATGAAAAGCTTAAATCACAATAAACACAGAAAAAGTGTGTGTGCGTACGTTTTAATATTGATTAAACATAAAAAAAGTTGCATAGACCATTGTAAAGAATACTTTTATTATCATAAAATGAAATCATTGATGCACATGGCTTATAGTATGTCGTCCTAAATATTAAATATTTTAGTGAATCTCACAATTTCGTAAACATTTCCTATCAATAACAAAACATAAAACGTCAGGAGACAGAGTGAAATCACAGACGAATGTCAGCTAGTTGTCTTGCTATACAAATAATTATTTGGAAATTGTTGACCATGATCAATATTCGTCGTGAAAAAAACCATGTCAACATATTGAAAAGAAAAAGATTTTCAACGAATAGTATTCATATAAATAATCTTTGTCATTTGGAATACCAAATTTTCATGTTGACTTGATAATGAATAATAGACATAAAAGTTCACTAACTATTGAATTGTTCTTTGTAGAACACCACGTCTACTATCATTTACAAATGATGTAGTTAGTTTCTCACTATCAACACCATCATTTGTTAGAGAATTTATTCATATTATTGTTCGTGATATGAACACATGAACAATTTTTTGTTTGTATACAATGTCATTGTTATAGTAGACAAAAAATGGTAGTCGTTTATCTCTTTATCTATTGATGTTTTGAAAGAATAGGAATAAAGCAGTCTCATGAGTCGTTGTAAATAATCTTATTGTCAAATCAACACGTTTTAATTATGGATAAAATCAATAAAACAGACTAGTATCACATTTGATTGCACGTTCAAATAGAAAAAAAATATATTAATATCAAAATATCTCTATTCTTACCTCTTGCCACAATGTCATTTCAGCTATTCGCTATACTCTTTGTTTATAGTATCCGTACACGTATATTTAGTAAGAAAAACAAAATATGTTCTCTGAGTAGTGCAAAATAAGATCAAAATAAAAAAAAAATACACACACTCACTTAACGGAATAAAACAATGTCTCATAATAAAAATAACAACAACAAATAAACAAACAAAAAAACTGGTGTAGAAAAAGATCTGTTATTCGTAGACAAAAACATGAAAGTTTTCTGATTCCGTACGCTCACTGATAGTAATTCATAATTTGATTTTTTTTTTACCATGATTACCTTTTTCCGTTCCATTCACACAAATAGCACATGAGAAAAAAAAGAAAACAGAAAAGGACGGAATATCATCTCATAATATTAACGTGCAATTAAAATTTAATTTTTCCTTCATTTATTTTTATGTATATATCATTTGTCAGTCGTTGATACGTTTGAGTAGACGAATTTAGATAGTAAACTTCATCGTTAATACGTGTTATATCATATGATTCATCTTGAAACGTTATCTTTTTTACTTTAAATGTTCCTAAATGGAAGAAGTAATAGAATTAACAACGATCAAAGCAGAAGAAGGACGAACATTCGATTCTGTGGCTACCGTTACCGATACAGGATACACATTCTAATGAAGTAAGTATAATGTTGGACAAGTAATTGGAGGTATAAGATTTAGAGCCCTGCATTAGATGGACATGTCCATGGACATTTAATTTAAATCTGTCCATGGACATGGACGGACATGGACAAAAAAAAATTGTCCATGCAGGTCTCTAATAAGATTACGTTATTATACGGCATTTGATGGAATCAAAATTTGAACACAATAATGAATAATATAGCTGTCAAACTATATTGATCAAAATAAGAATAGATATTACCTGTCATTTCGATTTGATCTGTTAAACGGATAAAAATTGGTCGAGCATAAGATGCCAGATGTATTTTCAATTCTTTTTCTAAATATTTTAAATCAATGGGTTTTTCGTTGTTTCTTATCACAACCATGCCTGCTTTGCCATCCGTTTCTAAAATAAATAAAAATAAATAATATCCTCTACTACTCATAAATCAAAGTATAATATCGTATTTTTATGAAAATAAAAATTACCTGGTACATTAACACCAAAAACAACTACCTCTGATAATTTTAAAATATCCATCAATACATTTTCAACTTCGACAGTTGATACATTTTCACCACGCCATCTGAAAGTATCACCCGTTCGATCACAAAAATAAAAATAACCAAATTTGTCAGAAATAATAACATCGCCTTAATCAAATTTAATATTTATTATATGCTCTATATCATTGTTGACATTACGTTGTTATTTACCTGTATTAAATGCAAGATCTCCCTTCTTTAAAACATCCCGGATCAATTTTCGATTTGTGCCAGATGGATTATTTACATAACCGTCAAATGCATGTAAAACACTTTTAGTTATCAATCCAGCTAACAATCCGCGTTCACCTTCAATAGAAAAACAAAAAAAAGGTGAAAAATTTGTGCTCAGATAGTTTACTCCTTTTCTTCTTATTTTACCTATATCACATTCGATACAAATTCCTGTTTTTTCATTTCGAATTGGTTCCATCGTTGTTTGATCGAATTTTAATAATACAATGCCTAATACATGTGGCATTACCATTGAAGTAAATCCACAGGCTCCTGGTTTTGAATCAAGATTAACTAGAACGAGAAAAAAAACCGCTTATATATTTTTATTTGATAACAAACAAAAAACAAAGTAACTTACAAAAATAGGCATTGCTTTCTGTTGCTGCATAAAATTCTCGAATTTGTTTAATATTAAATCTATTTGCGAATTGCACCCATAAATTTGCTCTTAAACCATTGCCAGATACACAACGTATTTGATGTTTTTGATCATCGGCACTTGGTGGCTGAGCTAATAGAAATCGACATAGTTCACCAACATATAAAAAAGACTATAAAAATCAATATTTCAGTTATAGTCAGTCACTTGAACATAATGAATATCAACGAACGTACCGTACATTTATACTTGATACAATCTTTCCAAAAATTACTGGCCGAAAATTTTTTTCGAAATACAGTTGTTGCTCCGCCTACTAGACTGTATGTAACACCAATCCATCCACCTACAAGAGACAATGGTTTACATAATAAGCATAATTTTATATAATATTAGTAATCTCACCATGTGAATGATATAATGGCAAAGTATTGTAAATAATGTCCTTTTGACTTATACCCGTAGCAACTAAAAAACCAACTGCTCCAAGCAAAAACCTAAAATAGGTATGTTATCAAATTCGTAGTATAAGTCGTTTTCTGTTAAAAGAAATATAATTCAGATAGTCAGAATTTTGCTGTAATTTTACCTCGAATGTTTGATGACTGCAGCTTTTCTAAAACCAAAATCAATATGTTAAATGAGATGTATAATCAAAATTTTTAAAATGAACCTACGGCAAGCCGGTTGTTCCACTTGTATAGATGTAAAATACAGGATCTGAGGAAAGAAAATAAAAATATCATTGGCTTGATCACGTAACTCGGCTATCATACTATAGTTCTGTCATGTTTTTTTGCATTTTGTTTCGTCTATAATTCTCGAATGAGCACACTTCCCCAGCTCTGCAACGTCTCATATCAAAGAGAAAAGTGTGTTGAATATTTTGAGACTGACTTTTGACTCGACGCACTCTACACGTTCTTTTGTTTAAGAACTATGTCAAAAATGTGAACTACTACTTTTCAAAACTTATCTGAAAAAGTAGTAGTTCATATTTTTGTTATAGTTCTTAAACAAAAGAATGTGTAGAGTGTGCCAAAGTCTCAAAATATTCAGCATATTTTTCTCTTTTATATAAGGCGTTGCAGAGCTCTTGACCTGTCCCCATCCAAGAATTATAGGAGAAACAAAATTCGATGGAATTACACTACAGTAGTAGAGTTACGTGACCAAGCCGTTATCTTTTACAAATGGATGTGATAATAGATCTTCTCGTACGTTTTAAATTATAGGGAATTGGTTTTGTTTGTTGAGGGGAACATGTTGCAAGTTGTTTGTCAAGATAGATTGTTTCAATTGTAGGAGAATCAAATCGATCATTGTCACTTGATGATGTATTTGAACCAACAAGGTACACTTTACTAAAATTAAGTTCTTTGATTTCTGTTTCAATTTCTATAAAGAAAATAGTGACTAAGTTTTATTTCTCGAGGAAAAGCATTGATACTACCTTGAAGAATTTGTTTAGATGTAATAATTGCTTTAGCACCTGCTGTTGCAATGGAATGTAGTAATGGTTTCGAGCGTAAATTTGAATTAATTAAGGCTGTGATTATCCCTAATTTAGATAGACTAATCCACACACACGGGTATTCAATACAATTTTCTAGAATAAGAGCAATCACATCACCATGTTTATAACCTTCTCCTGATATATAATTGGCTAAACGATTGGTAAAATCTTCAACCTAAACAAATGTAAAAATATCAACAATGTCAAATATAATTAAATAACAACTTACGTGTTGAAATGTAAATATTTTTTCTTCGAATAGAAAACATGGTTTTTGTGAATATTTTTTAGCATTTTGACGAAATATAGCGATATAATCGATTTTCCGTAGCACATAATATCTCATCAACAGGGAATGTTTTACTAATTTATAAAGGCCTCTAAAGCAAAGAAGGAGAGAATGTATTCAGTCTGAAGAGCGTATTAACAATAGTATTAGATCAATATTTTAATGAAAAATTTACCCTAAATCTCGTGGTAATGTTTTGAAAATGATATATAAATACTCAAAAACTGAAAATACATAAGAAAACAAGTTTTCAAACATCTAAAAAAGAACAATAGAAAAGATTTGTAATTGAAAAACATTCCTGTTTGTTTTTTTAGAGCGAGAAAAATTTGAATTAAACATATAAGGATGCTGATATATATATAACACACTTTCTGAACTTGACTGATAATTTTTTGTTTCATTCTGAATATATTGAAGTGAAGCAAGACAGTAAGAAACTAGGGCCTGTTTCTTAAAAAAACTTAAGTCAAAAAAGTTCTTTGTTGTTTTTGATTTGAGTTCAACTTTTGACTTTTTTTTTTGAAGTTTTTTAAGAAATAGGCCCCTGGCCCATTAAACATTTAGAATAAAGCTTTACTATATGACTAGAACCTGACGGTGCGAAAACTTATTAAATTATAAAAAATTACTATTTACGTGGAAATTTTATTTCGTGCACAAAAAGCAGACAATCGCATCCGAACGATTTTCGTTGTAATCTATCGAACACATCGTTTTTAATAGCAAAGATAAAAGTTTAGATCCAAATTGGTTATGTTTCTCTTCTTTTTAAGAGAGTTTCTGAAGAACTTTTTTGCTCAATATAATAGGCGATCTACATCTACTTGACTTAAACTCATATCCTCTTTTGATACGAAAACTAAACCTTTTCTTCCAGTGACGTTCTTATTCTTGTTATATCGACGTTGTTGTGTATTCTAAAGCTTGAAAACGACATAAATAGAAAAAGTTTCGCTATTAATCTGAATAAAAAACAGGGTAAACAACCGTATCCACAATAGTTGAAAGTTTCGATTTAAACCTTTCAGTACTTCGTTCGTTCCGCTTCACCAGGTATAAAAAAGTTTTAGTTATATCACGAGCGAGTACAGCAAATTGAGTATGTTCACCATCTATCTCCGTATCGTTATGATATTCTATCGCTTATTCAAATTTTTTTCGCTTATAACATTCAAATTTTTGCCCAAATATGTTGAAAGTTCGAATACTTGTGTGAAACTCCATATTCTCTCTCGAAAAGACTCAAAATTTCAACCTTTGAACTCTACAACAAGTTCTTTGTAGGTCCATTTTTATGGACTACTGGAGTTATCAATCTCGACTCTAGTAAAAGGTTTAGATCATTTCGAGATAGAGTCAAACAGATGCATTAAACGTCTCCGTCTAACAAAACGATTACAACATGCAATATTAGAGGCAGCTAATAAAACAAGATCGCATAAAAGTATGAAAATATAAACGAAACACTTGTACTTTTGCCTTCTCTGACAATTATTGTTTATTTATCTCTAAAGAACAATTTTCTTTTACTAACGTTCACTTTTCTTCATTCAAACTTAAGTGAGTTCACATTATGGAAAGGGTAGGCTAGCAAACTGGTATAGAATGCTTCTACCTTTCCTTGTTTAACTATTTCGTTCAGCTATAGAATAAGACATAGAGACATCTACAAGTCTTCACCTTGACTTAGAGCTGTCTTAGTATAAACAAAAATAAATGATAATCATCAGCACCGATCTCTTTGCTTTGGCTGATTTGTTAACAAATAAGCTTTCTTTTCAATAATTTTCTTTTATTTGTTTGTTATTCTTATCAAGGACGGACGCAGTCATGCCACCTATTCAATATCCTACACTACAGGATGTCAAAAAACTTCATCCTGTCCACCTGTGTGAATCATCACAAATTACGTTTGTGTATACGTATGATGTGTAAAATAAAAGAAGGAAAAACTAAAAACATCACAGGACAACGTAAGCTTCATAGTAAATAATTAGATAAAATCGGTTCTTTGGGTTCGAGAATGGAGCATCCAGTTGATTACTCATCTGTCACTGTCTATACGAGGAGGTCATTCTTAGTCATAATCGTACTAGAAAAGATTATACAATGATTTTCTTTATCGTTTTTTCTGTTGTGTATGGTCTATAGAACCAAATAAAAATTAGAGTAATAATAAAAATACAATGAGATATACGTAAGATAAAGGAGGCAGTAGATGACAAAAACAGTACAATAAAGTCAAAAATGTTTTCGATACACATAATACATGTATAAACATAAATACACACAACTTTCAACGTATTTACTACGTATGTAATAATAAAAAAACGTTTATGCCGTGTACATAGTAGAAAAAGTCCACAAGAGAGACACTGTTTATATAAACAATGTTCATTCTACATGCCAAAACGTTTAACATCCATAATCAATAAAATCACCCTTGTATTCAATGTCAATTCGACAGATGGGACCTAAAATTTTCAAATAAAATAAATGGAAATAGATAAAATTGTATTGATTCCAATACTTACATCGTCTGTTTGTTGATAACCATCGATCAACACACGGTATATGAAATAGATGCATGCATGGTAAACGTCGAACATCTTCATTCTCGTCAAATTCACATAGACATATTGTACATTTTTCTACTTGACTCGAGTCTATTACATCCACATATTGTTGTTTCCGTTTATGATATTTATACGCTAATGTTGTTTTATTTATTTGTTCTTGTGTTGCACCCATATTTATATTAGCACCCTGTTGTGTTGTACCAATTAATTGTTCCTCCATTCGTAATAATTCTTCAACAACATGTTCAGCACGCTCCGCACCCAAAAATTGTTGTCCACGAACAATTAATGGATTACGTAATGGACGAAATAAAATTGGTGGCCAGCCATTATTTACTTGTTGAGCAGAGTTATTTGTCGTTGAATTTGGCTGACTTGCTGTAGTAGATCCAATGGATAAATGCATACCAGGTCCAAATGTTAAATGGTATGAATTTGTTGTTGATGTGGTTGTGGGTGGGGTAGCTTGAATGGTAACATGCGCTTGAATATTTGATGACGCAGGTTGTTGTTGTCGCTGAAACAATGCGCTTATATGATGCTGATTGTGATAATCATTTATTTGACGTCGACGCTGTCTTTCTTGATTTGCTTGTTGTTGATAAGACAAACGTAAATGATGTGGATGATGATAATGGGGAATGTGATGATTTGTACTATTTGGAATAGGTGCGATATAATGTGGATTTGAATTAAGAGTAGATGATACGGCAACAGCAGCGGCAGCGGCTAAGAAAAAAACATTTATTCTTTAGAAAAAAAGGAATTTTAACGGAAAAAACTTAGTATTACCAGCTGCTGCGGCTGCAATTTGCTCTTGTTGTGGTGGATATAAGATAAATGAGGAAGGAAGACTAGAATTTTGCAGATGGCCCGTATTTGGTTGTATAGTTGATGATGAATTGGACGGACATACGACAGTTGGAGTGTGTGGCGATGCACGACAACCATATGCTGAAATATTTAAAGAAAGAGTGTGAGCTAATGAAATAGTGAACGAAATATTTATTGTCTAATAATATCAAATAGGTAACTTACGATTTATTGGATAAGGTAAGTGATGATGATGGAGTGGCACTGGCGGATAAGGCTGAGGATGATTTGAACGAAATGCTAATGGAGTAGTATTACAATGTTCAGGTTGATGTCGATGAGATCGACTGGTATCTGATGTACACAATGTAGCAGAATTTCCACGTCGTAAGCTAAAAGAAAAAAGAAAATGTCTTTTGTTGTTTTTTATTTTGTTTTACGAAAAAAAATATTCTCTATGACTGCGTTTAAAACGCGATGATGATTCGAACACACAGATAATAAGTATTTCTAAACAACAGTGATCAAATCATGATCTTTCGCTTAAGTTAACACTTAACAAAAATCCAAGAGGTATATTTCTTCATTAAAAAGAGTTTGACTTTCACAAGACCTGCCTGTGATGACTAGGTCGATGTGAGTGGAAATTTAATTGTTGTTGTTGGTATTGATGATGAAAAACAGGAAAAAACGCCGATTGTTGCTGATGGTGCGGAGATTGATAAGTAATCGGTCTCAATGAATGACAATTATTTGTTGATCGAGGAGCTGACGTTGAAGTAGAAGATGTTGCTTTAGGTTGTTCCGCTTTATTTATTTGTTGACGTCGTATTTGTTCTTCGTCATTATCGTCGTCACTGAAACTTTCATCTGGAACAATTTCTAATGTTCGTCTATGATGTTGAGCGGGTGATGGTATTGTTAAATCAACTAATTCTGGTTCTGTTGGATCAATTGTGAAATCATAAAATTCATTTGTGGTTGTTGTTGCTGGATCATTTTCTCGAATAACCGATAATGTTGTGGTTGTATTATTATGATTGTTAGCAGTTAACAAGGATGCTGTTACTGCAGCTGCAATAGCAGCGGCTGTAGTAGTCGTAGAATTAGTAACGGTAGTTTGCACTGATTCTGACTCATCATCGTCCGATTCGTCTGAGATCCAATTTGATGTCACCGTAGTAGAACGGAATCGTTTTTGATTTGTGATTGAGGGTGAAAAATCATATTCATTTGATATGGAACGTTTTTTGCAGTGGACTGTTGAAGTCGTTGTCGTAGTAGTGGTAGATGAAGTTGTAGAAGATTGTGACGGTGTTGCTATTAGAAAACCTGAATAATCAGTTAGATCGTTTGACATAGTTGGAAGATCTGTCGACGAACATTCAAGTGGAGCTTGTGTAGAGGATGTGGTTAATTTTACAATGGTTTTATATCGAGGTAACGAAGATGTAGGTGATTCGTCTATAAATGAAAAAGATATATTCTATCACAGTTGAACTAATTCGTGCCGGAATAAAAACATTTAACATTCAAGTGAATTTTAAATACAACAACTTTTTTTAATCAATGAAGCAATATGAAACACGAGAGAGGTTAAAGGTCAGCAGTTAAAAAATATTGCAAACAATTATAAAAAGTTCTGAAAGTAAATAACTAAAGTTTCTTGAAAAATTTTGTATATCATTTAAGATAATACTTAGAACAAACTGAAGAACATTCTTAGATATAAAACTATTTACCTGTATAATCTGTTGCTATTGCATAAGGTGTCGGTGGTCTTCTGTGTCTATGTTGAGAACCAAAAAAAATTGCGCTACTACTATTAGCATTTGTCGCGTTACTATTATTATTATTACTATCAATCGATGTTGTTGTTAATGTTGAAGGATAATGATTAGAATTTGAATTGTTTGATGTTTGTGATGACATTAACATCATAGCTGTTGGTTCATCAGATAGAAATTGAGCAAATGCTAAATTCATAGCTGATGCCACTTCTTCTGCAGACACACAAGCAGTTGAAGGTGACTGAATACTCATATTGTTTTTGTACTTAATTTCAAAATATAATCTAAAATAGATAAAATCATACCAAAAATGTATGTGAATGTTTTATGAGGACACACATCAATTTGAACAGAGTATTGGCATACATGTATGTATGTGTGTACTACAGCGTGATCGTTTGTTCTTCCTAGTCTTTCGTACACAGCAATTTCTGTTCGCGTAGTACAACAGAAAAATAAAAATGCATATGACCACTCTTTTCAATTTTCTCCTTTTTTTTCTCTCTTTTCTCTCTTATTTTTCTTCGTTCTGTCACGATGTTTCAGCCTACACGTAGGTACAGTATGGTAATGATGAGTTTATCGCGTCAATATAATAATAATTAACGAAAGAGAAAATAGAAAAGAAAACCTGTGAGGCAATATTGAACTGAACTATGAAGTTTTACTGAAAACAACTATATATGCGATTTTTTTTCCCAAATGTGATTTTAATCATTTTTACAGCTACATATTACTCTTTTATTTTCTGTGGATTTAATCTGTAGTTGACTGACGGTACTTAAAACAAAAGATAAAAACTAAGCGATATAGGTATCACTAACTAGGACATAAATACGTCGATCGTCGAATCCAATGTGATACAAGAAAAAAGTTTAATATGTCAGCTGTCTATATACACATGAAATCAACAATAAAAAAAAAAAGGGGCGATAACAAACATACACACAAGAGGTGTACACTTGGAAGATGAGCTTATATATTTTATCCCGATAATAAATCAAGCTAACTCATATAAAAGAGAAAAATAATTTTTTTTTGAAAGAACGTTAATTAGTGATGAAAAAGATAATTGAAACATCGTTTAACGTCGCTATGTCTACGAGTTTAATAGATTTCGTCATCTCTTGTATTTCTATTTAAACCTTTTATACTATATATCAAATACAAAATGAAAAACTATGTATTATCCTTTCCAACAACAACATGTCTTCTCGATGATCGTATGTTTTTGTTAACACAACGCGGTATGTGACATACATTTTCTATACCATGCGCATATGTATAGTGAACTGTTCTTTTTGATTCAAATACACACACACGTATACACATGAAAAAAAACCGATGATTAAATTTCCATTGCTCTTTTTTTTTTCTTCTTCTTTTTATTCCTTGACGATAAAGGATTGGCGAGTGTTCAACAATGACATCTGATCTTATGTTATTCATAAATACAAATTTCTATTTTCATTATCTTCATCTTATTTTCAACAAACTCAAATATATTTTTCTTTCTTCTCTATAAGTAATAATAAATTACGTAAGGATAAAACATATGCTACGGCTGTACAGTATGTGTAAAAAGAGCTCTTCATTGTACAGATGGTTCCACCATCATATTCCAAACAAATTGCATATGAATTTCGTCAATAATTCTTTGACTACCACAAGCTCTTTAGCTAAGAAAAAGCCATTGTCATTGTACACCACATATATATATCTATAAATATGTGTGCGTGCGCGTGTCTTAGAAATATTATTAGAATTTATAACGTTTCTCTCTCTGTCTTTCATCACGTACCAGTGTATACAGTAAAAAACAAAGAAGTAAAAAATATCACCGTTAAAAAAGAAATGATGAAAAAAAACAACAAAAATCATCGACAACATACGAGAACATAGAAAGGGGTTGTGTTTTGCATATAAAGATAAAGAAAAAAAAAATCTGCTTTCGGCTGACGTTCATAGTTTTTCTATCGACAATTTATTTTTATGTCGTTGAAAAAATAGAAAGATAACTTATCATAAAAAATAGCAACACCTCACCATCAAGTAAACATAAGTAAAAATTTTTCTTGATTAAAGGATAATAAAATATTCTGAAGATGAATAAAAAATAAATTAAAAATTTAGTATAAAGTTCTCACTTTACCAATTAGAAAAAATATAATTATCATATACTTTCTTTACTAGAGTTCATCTTCAGTGCAACGTATAAAATGAACGAGATATTTTTCATAATTATTATATAGCAAGTTGTTGAAAAAATCTTTTAATAAAAAAATTTTTTTGATAAGGATAATGGAAATCAATTGAAAATGCAACAAAAGTTGATAAATGACTTTTAAAAGAAATAGAGATCTCCAATATCAATACTAAATTATCTCTCGATAAAATATAAATTTTTACTAATTGATTAGTCTATTTTTAATTATTTTAATTAAAATTACTCAAAATCAACTTTACTTATTGAAACCAAGTACAAAAAATTTGTACAAAAGACTCTCACGGTTATAATTATCAATTGTAAAGGCCATTTTGTTCTTGTTGGAAGGAAAAAAAAGAAAAAGAAGTAAAATGAAGGTTATGTAGGTTCGCTTGTATTTGTTCGTTCTTCGATTTAGTCAAAAAATTTACGTAAGCAACATACTGAGAAGAGGAGTGATGTAAAATGACACACTTGTTTTTCAATAAAATTTTCACGACGATAGTCTAAACAATTTGACATACAAAAGTATAAATGTTTCAACATTGTTATAGTTTTGGAAAAGAGAAATGACGTTTTTTTCTGTCAATAAAACAATCAGAATGTCATCCAAAAATATCTTGATATATATAAGACGAAAGAAGGATATCTAGAGTAAAAAATTTTAAAAATTCATTAATTATTATAAAAATAATAAATTGAAATGATTTTAGAATTTTTTCTCTCCTATGTTTATCTATATAGGAAATCATTCTGTTGCAGCTGCTCGATTATATTGTTTTTATATCTATGAATAAGCAGAAGAGAAGAAAAAAAATGTTTTTCTCTTTTCTATTTATATACTGCACATATTTTCTGTGAAAAGAGAAAAAGTGATGTTAGTAGAAAGAGTACATTTTGTACTTAGGATTCTATTCCAAAATATTTATCGTTTCCATGCAGTCACTATCTAAAATAACTTTTAACATTAACAGATTTTTAAAGTTCTATTTTCTCTATACCACCAAGGATACTGATATCTGACATGTAGATTTTTAGTTTTTTGTTTTGTTTTGTTTACACAATCGAAAATATTGACTCTATTTGGTCAAGACTATTTGAGAACGTTTATTAGTCGTAAGATGTGAATCAACTTACTTACTAACCATGACAATTCAAATTTCTATACTCTGTCTTGCAATCGAAATATAACATGAACGTGAATATGAACATACAAATCTTATCAAATAACATTAACATAACATGAGAAACCAACATATTTTTTTCGTTCTTCTCTCTTTCATTCTATGAATGTTCTATATATCCTAACAATGAAAAAAAAATAGTGAGAGAAAGAGAGAGAGAGAGAGAGACTCCATGGCAAATGTTTGATCAACTGTGTTTAATCGTGATAGATGTAAGCGAAAGAGACAACTCTCAAGTACTAGTTTCAACCAGTAATAAACAAAATATATTTGATAAATGTTTATTTGATAGTGTCATTGCTTTACATCAGCTTATGTGAATACAAGAAATCAATAAAAAATTTATTTGTCAGCAACATCAGCAATTATTGAACATATTTTATCCATTTCTCTTCCTATACCATATGTACAAACAACTAACAAACAACATATCGGTTCTCTTCGTTCTCAATTCAAATAACAAAGAGAAAGAAAATACAGGAAAAAAGAGAAAATACGACGCAAAAAAAAAAACGTTTATGGTCTTTGAATAGGATGTCGTGAATGTCACTATATATAAAATTTAACAACAGTCTACGACACTCACTCTAACAATAATGTATCTGTTGCTTTGTCCTTAACGATAGAGCTGATATAAATTTCTAAATATTCAATTAACACGTTTCTGATATATTTTATGTCTGAATGGAAAATAACAGTAGTCAAAGCTGACAAAGAGACTGACTTCTTTTAATTATCGAATTTTGACTTTATGATCTACATAATAGACAAATGGAATAAAATTTTTTGATCATAATCATGAACAGTATGAAAAAGTGCAAATTTTTGATAGATATTATTTCAAGTCATTTCTGTTCGTTAAAAGTGCACTGAATCTTTTTTTTGTTTGTAAATATTACCATGACATGAGACATAATAAAAAGAAAAATAAACGATAATAAATAATGATTATTTGAAAACACTTGACCAAACAATGGATTACATGTATATCTCCTCACTATGGCATTATATATCGTGTACGTTTGGTTAACTACTGATAATTTTTTAGGTCAATGTCATTATCTATTTGAATATTTTCTTTCTAAAGTATCTGTATGATATCGATTCAAAACCGTATCTCTTAAACAAAAATGTTGAGTTTTATTTCGTCTCAAATACTATAAACACGATAACATTTTTATTTTTGTATTCGGTCGAACAAATTTATTTTTGAGACCAGAAAAATAAAGTTTGATTTAGTCGACTTACTAAATTTTTTTTTTCATCTCTATTACTTGATGACAACACTTTTATTTCTATCCAGCTTTTATACTTCGAAAAACAAACAAGAAAAAGCTTTACTTTTAGATCTTTTATAAATTTTGTTTTTCTTCATAAGGTGCCGGAAATTCGAAAATTCAACATGCTTTTATTTTTGCATTTTTTATACATTGTTCATCGGATAGATCTCGTCGATCTGGAGAACAAAATATGTATTTTAATGTTTGAAAAAAATTTTTGATGTCGAAGAATTGAAAAAATTCGAAGGATCTGAAATACGAAAAATCCTTCAGTTTCAAAAAGTTCAGGTCTTTGTCTTTTTCGTTCTTTCAACCTTTTGGAAGTGCTTTTTTCAGATTCAGCATCAAAAACTGAGCATAAAAATTCCAAGATTTTTCGTTGATTTTCATTTTCCGATGAAAATCTCAGTAATTTTTCGACGTGATAATTCGAAAAAAACAAATGTGATCGGATAGATTAGAAACAGTATATCATTCGACTCAGTTTTTGGCGCTGATTCTGAATATAATATTTTTATTGTATAAAAAGCGAGGTCTGATGAAGAAAATTGAGAATTACGATTTTTTCGCTTCTGATCTAGAA